ATCAAATGTCTAATTGGATGGTCATTAGGAAATACCCCATGTGCTAATCAGTGAGATGCAAGTCAGCCCACCCAACAAGGAGCAAGGGACCAAAATAATTGTGGGGAGCGTGATTACCTCTTTGTCATGTGGCTGGGGAATTCTTGCTTATTTTGTATTTAAAATTTATGTTTGAGACATAAACAGCAACTTCAGGGTTGGCTATACAGAGCAGGCCTAAGTTTAACCTAGCAGTTAAGATCCCCATGTTCCATATCTTCATGCTTGATTCCCAGCTCTGGGTCCTGACTCCAGCTTCCTACCAATGCAGATCCTGGGAGACAGAGGTGATAGCTCAAGTAGTGAGACTCCTGCTTCCCCCTCCCACTTCCCCCAACCCTGTCCCGCGGCCATGTACAAGACCTGGATTGAGTTCCAAGCCCCTGGCTCTGGCCCCAGCCATTGTGGGTATATTTAGGGAGTGACCCTAAGGATGGTATCTACATATCCAAAAATAAAAAATCAACAACAGAAAACAATTGGTCATCAGAAGTTGCTGCTATTCTCTATCAGTCAAACAAAAATAATAAAAAGGGAATCTTGTTGGCACAGATGAAAATCTGGTAGAGTGTCAACAAGTCCCAAACATATATCAACTTGCTTATGGCATGATCTTTTCTTATGTTGTAGATAATCAAGACAAGCAGTTTGGAAAACCATGGAGAAAAAAGTCTCTCAAGTGGAAAAATCGAGCAGGCAACAGTGCTCTAAGCCAGCTGCTAGAGGGAAGTTACAAAGAACCACCACAATATCAAAAAGCTGCCATCGAAATATGTGGGGTGTGAATGAGCTGCAGTAACTGTTTAGTCCCTGCTCTCAGATAACTGCTCCTGTATCTTGCTTTTCCAGATGGCCAGGTCTTTCCTAACGCAGCCCCACTGGGCAAGAGCAAATGCTATCCTGGAGCTTCAAAGGACCAAGGTGTGTGTGTGTGTGTGTGTGTGTGTGAATATGCTTGTTAGCTTGGGGTCCTACACAGGTGACCATAAATTCTCATAATAAAGTAGTGGCAGAGTTGTATCTTCTTAGTTTTGATGGCAAGTGATAAAGCTATTAAGGAAATCATCACACGACAATTGCATTAGAACATTACAATTGCATTAATATAAAATGCTTTTTTGATGCCTTGTTAAGCGTAAAAATAGTTCTGCTTGTTACTGTCTACTGTATTTTGTTCTAAAGTTGCCTATAATTACACATGTTGGGGACGGGGATTAAGAAAGCAATTCTGCTTCTTGCATTCAGATTTGTGTGTGTGTGTGTGTGTGTGCATCTTCCCCCCAGGAGTCCAAGTAAAAAGGGACAACAGAAGTGTTCTGGTCTGCTGCAGCCTCTGATGAACAGGTGGCTTTCATACATGCACCTACAGTTTCTGCTGGAATCCTTCTTTCCTATAAATTCTTAAAAAAATTTTTTATTCAAAAGTCAGACAGAGAAATCTTCCATCTACTGGTTCACTCCCCAAACACTGGCAACAGCCAAGCCTGGGCCAGGCCAAACCCAGGAGCTCAGAACTCAATCCAGGGTTCTCCTGTGGGTGGCAGGGCCCCAAGCATCTGCCTCCCAGGGTGCACATCAGCAGGAACGCTGGTTTGTAAGTGAGGTAGCTGGGACTCAAACCAGGCACTCCCACATGGGATGCACACATGGGATGGGGCTAAGCCACATGACTTAGCCACTGCATCACATGCCTCCCCCTGGAATCCTTCTAAGGCAGAGTATACCGCACACTACGATGCTGACTGCAGTCATTTAAATCACTCTTTTTCTGTTTATTTAAAATCTGACTTCCAGGAATTACTACCTTGGCTTCTTGTTTTATGCATTTTAAAAAAATTACAATAATCTTTCAATTACTATATTTCTGGTAACTGACATTAGCTGTCCTGTCCCCTCCAAAACTTATTTTCTCCATAGACCACACATCCTATTTCTCTGATCATTCCTCATGGGAAAGCTTCCAGATCATTGGCCACCTAGTAACTCTCTGCTAAATAAACTTGTCAGAGCTCATTTTTCTTATTACCAATATTAAACAGTTCCCATTTATTAGGATATGCTATATCCCAGAAAATACTTAATCAATTACAGTTTTAATCTCAATAAAATGTCTCTTTGAGGCAAGTATTTTCACCCCTCCCCCCTTTTCTGTTAGGGAAACTGGGGTTCAGAGAGTTTAAGGAAGCTACTCAAACTCACACAGGTCACAAGTGGACAAGTCCATCAGCCCACACCATTGTGGTGACTTGGGAGTACTTGTCCATGTGAACGAGACACAGCCTGCAGACATGACCTGTCCAGCACAGGCAGAGCGGAGGCTTGCCACCTTCTCAAGCTGACCACTACACACAGTAGCCTGTGATTTCATGACCGGTTTTGACAGGTACATTGCCCTGTTAGGCTGCAATGAGTTTGTAAGCCAGCCCAGAGACAGGTTTTACCCACCTTAACAAAATGTCTTGACGGTCCCTCCTCCCAGCACATTGCTGTTCTTCACTTGATCCTTAAAACACAGTGACATTTCTACCTCCACTCTTGCAAAACGTTAGCCTGGCAGTTCTGCTTCCGTGTCACACGCTACACCATTTTACAAGCAAACCGGACTCTGATACTAGGGACATGAGACTCTTTCTAAGCTCTATGTTGCTTAAAAATTTTTGTTCAGCTGTGTTTTTGTGCCTTCATCCAAACCTTTGATAAAAACTCAATTTAGAGGAAAGACTGATGGACACTTCCCCAAGACAGTGCTCTTCATGGTCTATTTACCTAGGATACCTTGTGTATGCCAGGAAATGCCAACTTTTCCTTTCCATAGTTGATGTCAAATAATAAGCAGCATTTTCAATACACTTTTTCAATCAGCATCTCATTGTCACCTTGAGAACCGCACCACAGATCGCTGCCATTTTTATTATTCAGTTAGCTCCAAAGAAACCCATTAAATTTACTATGGCCAGATTTCCTCATCTTCACAAAGATGTCAGCAGTGAGTATATTCTTCCTATTATCACTGTCTGTCATGAAACCAAATTTCTTTTTTTTTTTTTTTGAAAAGGTTTTATACCCCAGAAATAAGCTTCTCTCAACAATTGGTGAGATTTATAAAACATTTAATTATAAAGAAAAATAACTGACCAACATTGTTATGCCACTCAAAACATTCACAATGATTTTAAAGATAACACTCATTTGTATACAACAAAGTTAATTACAAAACAAAATTCTGTACTCAAATCCACAGTAGTTATCTATGTCATGAATTTTAAGCATGGATATCAAAATTTGTTAAAATTTGATCATCCAGAAGGATTATGCCCCCTACAGGAGACACTGTAAGCTTTCTTCTAGAATCTTCCTTAGAAAACTCCAGCAGCCATGACTAGAGGATTGCTAGTACCCTGATTTATCTTCTTATATAAATTCAATCAATAGGAAGACTCTCCTCAAAGTTAAGGGGAAAAGCTTCTCTTCATTTAGATCAATTTTTTTGAGAAATTGGAATCCATACTGAAAAATACAGTCTCTCTCAAGGTTACAGAAGTCCTTTAAGGTTCATAATAAATCCAGTTAGAAGTATATTATCAGAGCTCACCATTTCCAAAATTAACTTCTTAATCTATAATTGGACACTTTGATCCAAGAAATCAGGGAACATCAAAACCAACAAAATGCAAGACATGGATCTGTCCACAGCAAACCCTACAGGGTTCCTGGAAAACTGTACAGAAGTTCATCAGTGTTTGTAACACTGCAAGATAACTACATTTTCTATAAATTAGTATATGACACACTACATAACTTTTGATCTAAGAATTTAGTTTTTTAAAAAATAAATTTTTGGTACATTCCCATAATTGATAGTAATTTAGTAACCCATCACTCATCTCCACCCTAAATGACTATCAATATGCAATGGATTTGAATTTTCTGTTTCAAGAAAGGCACTGATACACAGATGCATGACGCATAATACAACAGCCATCACACAGGCATAATGAGACAGAGGTAGTGGAGATGAATGAATGGGGAATGTGAGAAATCAAGGGTACTTGGTGCTGGCTGTCAAGAGGAAAGAGGAATAGAAATATCTGTGAATTGCCTTTGGAACCTGTTGGAAGCCTGAGTTGGGAGGAGCTGGCTTAGGGGGACGTTTGACAAGCGGAGAGGCTGGAGGTAGGAAGAAGGAGCTCTTTGAAGATGCTAAATCTGAAATTGCATCACCTTGCTGAAAGAGAAAGTGGCTCCTGGGGTTACACACAGCTGAGGCTCATGCCCTGTTTCATGGTGATACAAGAACTAAAGCTCATCCATTTCCACAGCTACTGACAGGCTGTGTCGTTCTCATCGGCTAACATGGCCTTGAAACACATCTCTGACCAAAGGCACTGAACGGCCCTCTTCTGAAAGAGAGTTCAGTTTTCCTTTACAAAGAAAGAAGAGAAAGTAGTATGCCTACTTATAGGGAAGCTGCGATGCCCACCACCACGTATGCTGGAAAAGTTAATTATTCTCTGAGCAAGGAAAGGATGTGGACATTTCAAATGATCTCATTGTCACTATATTTTGGCCAATGTATAAGTTTCTACCAAGTCACAGTGACTGGACCATAAATTATTCAAACAGAAAAGGTGAAATTAACTTAAATAATAGCTCATAACCAGCATATTAAAGAAAAGCTGATTTTAAAGCCTTCAATTCTTTTTCCTACCATGGAAAGTGTTAAGAAATTCTACCTCTTTTAGGATAACATTTTACTTTTGATTACATCATTTTGGAACATCAAACATATTAGTAATTTGACACTCTACTAAGAGACTCTGGAAATAATTTAGCATTTAGAGACTGGATCTTAGTAATTTTCCAGAGTTCTGGAAAAACAAAGAGGCATCTCCTAATGTTGAATACCAACATTCCCCAGCTCTCAGTATCTAGGAAAGAAAAGCTTAAGAATACCTCCTTACCTCCACATCACAGGTGTATTCTGACCCATCCAGAAGTATCACTTTGCACTGCATGCTTTTGGGCTTTTTGACAATCTTTAAAGGAGACCGGGAGAGTTTACTGCTAGATGATTTCTGGGAAAGTTTATCGTCCTCAAGTTGCTGATATTCGAGCTGTTTTGCAGCTGCAGCAGCAAACTCCTGCTCCTTGTCAGTGACCTGTGAAGAGCAAACAATGAGCAGTTTTCATTGCAACACAGGGAATAAATATTGCATTGCTCAGCCAATAGCACAACACTTTGGAAACAGGCTGCCTTCCATTTCCCAGAGCGAGAGGGAAATAGACTATTCACAGGTATTTATAATTCTAAGTGTCACCTAAATAACTTTTTCCATTTAAATGTACCAATAGGACCGTATTTCAGTTCCACTCCAATATTTAAGTTAGCAACACCAGTTAGCTAATGTCATCAAGGTTCACTATACCCAAGAGGAAAAACTGACTCAGCTTTTTAAAAAAGGGACTGGATTATGTAGGCCTCTAAAATACCTCACCTAGATATTTTCTTATGTTATACTCAAAATAAAATATTTGCATTTTATTGTACTCTTCTATATTTGGTGACTTGTTGTAACCACCCTGTCCATATTTGTACAAGGTATCTTATAAACTTTAAGGCCTAGACAGCTTCAACTATTTATTTTTGCAGTAATTTTGCCACTGTTAAAATATTTGATTTAGTGCTAAATCAATTTGATGAAGTCAGCAGAACTAAAATTCATCACAGTAATCCCCTAAATATGCTTCTCTTTATTGTAATGAGCCACTATAAGAAGAGATCAAATCGGTCCAAAAGCTTTAATCTGCTTTCAGATCACAGCAGATCAGCCCAGACTAGATCCAGAATCTCATAGGAAATCCTAAGTAACAACACAATTCTCCGCTGAGTCAACGCACTGGGAAAGCTCTCCGCCTACTCTTCCCTACCTACTGCTACCATATCCCTCTTTTCTATTAACAACCACCAGTGACCCAGGTGCAAGTTCAATCCATGGCCAGACTACCATTTCCATAAGTCTGCCAACAGAAACACACTGTCCAAAGACAGCTACACACTGAAATGATGTGTGGGCCTCTTGAAATGTTCTCTCTCAAGAACACAACTACATATAACTAGAACAACTACATACAATTAGAACTACAGAAACTACAAGGTAAGCACAGTATTGATGGTTTATGATCTCAATTTTTCTTTTTAAAATTTATTTATTTGAGACAGAGAGACACAGAGAGATATCATGTGTTGGTTCACTCCCAAATGCTCACAATGGCTGGGGCAGGGCTGGAGTTGGGAGCTGGAAATGCAATCCAGACCTCCCAAATGGGTAGCAGGAACCCAGCTACTTCAGCTATCACCACTGCCTTGCAGGGTCTTGCAGCAGCATAAAACAAGTCAGGAGCCAGCAGCAGGAATCTGATGTAGGTACTCTGATGTGGGATGCGGGCGTCTTACCCACTGGGCTAAACGCTCACTTTCAACTTTTCTTCTTTATCAACATCTACCACTTCAGAACATTCTAGTCTAATCACAAAGCTATTTCTGACATAGTTGTTTTGGATTTTAGGATACATTTCTGTTTTTCCTGCATTTTCCATCTTGTTCTCCATCCAGAAGATTGCTAATCAAGTCCCGTCTCCTACTAGCTGAGCAGAAATTCAAGACAACGTCTTGAGATGTTCTTTAGAAAGAGACCCATCTGCTGAGCTTATAAAAAGAAACTGAGACAAAATCGAATAATCAATTTCCAAGGTCAGAGTAGTCGAGAAGGCAAGCTTTAGGCTAACACCAGTACAGAAATTAAAGAAAACCTGCCCTGACAACTTGGCCTAACTTCTTTGCCAGTCTTTCCATATCAAAACATTAGAACAGGCGTGATGGGGGAAGGCACTTGGCCTGATGGTTAAAACCCTTATGTCTCAGGTTGGCGTTCCTGGGTATGACCCTCAACTCTGCTCCTGACTCCAACTTCCTGTTCTTTCAGACCCTGAGAGGCAGTGGTGATGACTCAAGGAGTTGGGTTCCTGCTCCTTGTGTTGGAGAACTGGCTCCTGGTTTCAGCCCAGCCGAGTCCTGGCCATTACAGGCATCTAGTGAGTGAACCATCACATGGCAGTGTTCCATAGCTCACAAACAGAAACACAGAGAAAGTAAAATAGGTGCAGAAAATTAAAAACCTATCATTAATCTTGGCTTTGCAGTAAATTAAGGAGAAATTTGGTGACCTTGGAATTACATAGCAACCCCTATAACACATATTAATCAGGTACTTTATAATGTATATGACTTTTGCATATTTAATTTATATTTTCATCTCAGCCAACAACAACTCAACTGAGGCTAGATTTTTATTTAAATTTTACCCGGAATCAACTTTTTGATCCCTCTATGTAGTAGGGAAAGTGAAACTTCATTTTCCTCTACTAAAATAAAAGTATCAATGTGAGAATAAACTTTCTGGGTTATTTAAATGTCAACTTTCCAGAGACATCTCAAACCACTGTCACTCCAAGGTCAGGTTCTGAGAGAACTTGGAAGATGAACCTACCCCTGAAGCTCGCACATTTTAAAACAACTTCAACAGCTATGAAAGAGCAGACCAAGTACCTCAAATGAAATGTCAGTCGTGGCCACACGATGTGTTAAAATTTCAACATCAGTATCAACCACTTTTGCAAATGCTCTACTTCACTTCATCCTCACAGCACCTCTGTGATATGGGTACTCTTATCCTGATTGGCAGATGACAGCTGAGGCACAAGGCACCTAGGAAATCTGCTGCAGGTCGCAAAATGAGCAGCCTGCAATTCAAATCCAGCCAAGCCTATGTTTTAACTATCACTATATCCCCAAACATACTTCATTCTACCTCCAACAAAACTGGCTCCCTAGTATGAACCTAAGAATTTTGTGGAGGAAGCTTAGAAACGATCTTTTCTGAACTCTCCCCTTCTCAGTGGAAGTCGCCAAGGCCCAAGAGCTGCATGAGTCTCCGAGGCTGGGAAAGTAATGGCTGGAAGAGCAGGAACCGCCTCAGGTGTCTGCGCAGTGCTGCAGCCATCAATCCGTCCAGCGGCTGAGGACCACTGCTCTTGTTTTGTTTCAGACATGGGCCCACAGAAGGTGCAGTCCTGTACCACCTACCAACGTTTCTGCACACAGACCACACACATATGATGGTGGTCCTGTGAGATAATAATGTTGCTGAAGACTGGCTGTTGCTAGGAACACTGCTCACCCATTTGTGATGATACAATGTGAACAAACTTGGTATACAGCCAGTTACCTAACTGTATACCACACAGAATGATATATGGTACCTAATTTTTGATAATTGTAATAAACAAAATGGTCCAGGTGGTATGGAGTCACTATGCTATACGTTTTGTCATTATACTCCTTCTACTTATGAAAACCTGTTTATTTTAAAACACTGTCCTGTTACACAGTCAACAGCCTCACCTATCTCGTGTTTCCTGCATCTCGACATAATTTTCATTTGTGCTTGATTTTATGATCACATTTATCTTACAGCCTAGATGTGCAGCAGGCTATAGCATCCAGGTTTGGGTTCGCACAATGATGAAATTGCCCAGTGATGCATTTCCCAGGATGTATCCCATCGTTAAGTGGTGCATGACTGTGTGCTTAATCATGTCTAGGAACAGAGTCTCATCTTTTCTATAATTATGTCACATTTTTGTGTTATTTCATTTCAGAGTTAAGAGGGAAAAAATGAAGAAAAGTGTAGTAATTTGAAATTTTTTTGGGAGATTAAAAAAAATTATTAACTACCATCATCATTCCACAAGCAGAAAAGAAGAGAAATAGGGAAACCATGGTGGCCACAACAACTCCTTGCTTCAGTATGCCAGGCTGGGATGGGAACACCCTGCTCTCAACACAAAACCTCTTAGATCAGAGGGGCATCTAGGTTACACAGCGAATTTTAAGGTTTTTATTAATTTGGTTTAAAAGAACTAACAAATGCCATGAGGAAAGAAATAACCTGCTTGTAAACACAGTTTGATGTTATACTAATGTACTGTGGCATCTAAAGCCTTTTGTTCATATGCTGACTTCATGCGTCTCCTGTAAACATCTCCGAGAGTATCTAGCTGGGCAAATACACCGCTAAACCGTAAAAGGACAACCAAGTGCAGGAGTCCCAGACTTCTTTACCACATACAAGTTGGTATTCTAGGACATGCTGATGCCAAGTGTGAAGTCTGAAGACAAAGTAAACTTAAACACGGACCATTCAAGGTCCAGTACAAACCACACTTTGTCTTTCATATGAAAACTTTTAAAAAGAAATACTTCACTCGAAGCAACTCAAAGGGGGAACAGAACTGAAAACCTACATGCAAGCATGTTTCCAGAAGTTAGTGAGAAATGCAACTGTAAGTATTTAAGTTCAAACAAATTTTGAGATGTGTGTATAGCTCTTGCCTAATATCAATTTTTCATTAACTTTTAAAGACCCATTCTTATGCATGGGATTAAGAAAAATTTTGCAACCAAATAAATTTGCATTTTAATTCCATTTTCTAAAAACTCTCTGAAATTGTATTGCACATAGAAGGGAAAAAGACCTACATTAACTTCCATTAAAAGAGAGTTCTGGGAAAAATTAAAACAAACAAAAAACCCTAACCCTCATAATGAAATGGAAAACAACACACGCAATTAAAGCTGTCAGTTTGCCATCTATTTTCTCTCATCTAGAGATGGCCAACGATTTCAGTGTGACTTGAAGTGTTTTAATTAAGAGGAAGAGTTATGCAAGCAAGGTTGCAGAGTGTCATTCGCTGACAGCCTTTAAACTGCATATACTTCATCTGCCTGGTACCACGTACACAGATGACTCTGCAAAGCTGTCTCCAGTGCTGAGAGACACAGGCGAAGGCCAAGCCTGCCAAAGCTCAGCCCCTGGTCTCTGGTAGTCTGGCAGAGGCTGGAGGGACCTCACCTCCTTCCGCACCGGGGTGCTATGCGCCGCAGCCTCCTCGAACTGCTCCAAGGCCTGCTGCTCCTCGCTGGGCGGCTCTGGCCCAGGCTGCGGCCCAGGGCGCCCCTGCGGACCCGCCGCCTCCTGTGGCTCGGCCTCTTGGTCCGGCTTCGATTCTGAGTCTGAACCCGATTCGGTCGTCATGGTTGATTGTTCTGCAAACAGAAAAGCAGGGAAGCTGGGGTCATTGGGTGCAATCACCTTCCTTGGCCACAAGGCTATGGTGATGAGGGGTTAAAGGGAAGCCCGAGGAGAGTAGCAGAAATGCTAACCACCAAGCACACTCCTAGTCCACAGTCAGCAGGGATTTCATAACTTACATTCAGTTTCAGAACAATGACTCTGCTAAAAACACAGGGAAGGACAGTCTAATCTAATAATAGAAGCACAAATTCCTTCTCATTTCTCTCCTACTTCCCCATCTCTATACAAGGGTCCCTCCCAACCCCAGAATCTACAGATCTATTCTTTTCCATTGTAATTTTCAAATTCTGTTATTTCCTTTTCAGCTAGCAATCACAGCTATGACATGAAATCGGCCCCATGCTGGACAGGCACTGGCCATGGCTGGGAGGGGTGCCGGCCAGCATTCCCCTCTCCCCTCCAGAGTTTATTCTCACATTCTTCTTCCTGGCTTCCTCCTATATTGTTCTTAAGTGCTGAAAGATGAGTTTGTCTCGTATCTCTTAAGGAACTCAAACAACACACTTTAATGTATAACAATTCTGCTTATATATCCTAAATACACACCATGTAAAATCTAACAGTTTGCTTGTTACTTAAGATACTTAAGTATTTTGTGCCTTAGTTTCCATAAGTGGAGATATGAGGAGACAGACTATGAACATACCTGAAGAATTATTCTCTGCTCTTGTTTCCCCTACATGTGGATATGCTACTGTACTTTATTGGGGGGGGGGGTTGATATTTATTTATTTATTTATTTATTTACTGGAAAGGCAGAGTGAGAGAGAGGCAGGGAGAGAGAGAACGAGGTGGGTAGTTTTCATCTGCTGGTTGGCTATCTATCTATCTATCTGAAAGGCAGAGAGACAGAGAGGGAGATCTTCCATCTGCTTGTTCACTCCCCAAATGACCACAACTGCCAGGGCTGAGCTAGGCTAAGCCGGGAGCCAGGGACTCCATCTGAGTCTTCCATGTGGGTAGCAGGGGCCCAAGTATTCAGAGCATCATTTGATGGATTCCCAAGTGAATTAGCAGGGAGCTGAATTGGAAGTGGAACAGACAAGACTCAAACCAACAATACAACCTGGGATGCTAGCATCACAAGTATTGGCTTAAACCACTGTGCCACAATGCTGGCCCTGCCTCTGTGTTTGAAGGCAGATTTTTTTTGTTCCAAGCAACAAGAAAGCTCCTACACCAAGTAGACAGCATGCCACTTTTAAGGAATTTCTTAGGCGTGTAGAGTAAATATCTAAAAAACAAATAGCTCAGATTGTCACATAATTTCCCTTCCTCATAATAATTTTATGGTTAAAAATATCATGAGCAAAGGGCTAGGGTAATACTTTAAGCAAATTTTACACTCATTGACATAATATAGCATTATGCAAAATACAACTAGTGACTCCATAGCAAAGCCCCCATTTGTTCCTATCTTTACAATACATATTGGAATATGTTTAATATTTCAAAGAAGGGAATAGTACAAATATCAATCTATGCTATATCTGTGCTTTCTATTTAGGGTTTCTTTTCACCATCACAGCTATTCCTTCTGTTGAATAAAAGACTTATCAACTTGGCATGTGCTCAGTTGCCCAAAGCATATGTAAATACCAAGTCCAAATGCACAGTGATCCAAATAAAGCTAACACATTTTCTTGTTCCACTTACATTACATTTCAGATCTTTAAGCAAATCTTTGAAGTAAATATTATATTTCCTTTGGTATGTTTATGCTGGGAAGTGGTATAAACATAAAGAGAAAACATTAGAGGAGAAGGAAAGATGGAGCGAGATCATTAATTCAGAGCCTACAATTGAACTGCAGCTCTTGGAAGGGGGAGGTTAGTTTTAATAGTCAATTCAATGCACCAAACACTTGAGTATCAATTTAAGTCAAGTACTGCTCGTGAATTAGAAACAGAAATTAATAAACTGTAAATACCCTCCCCACCTCAAGGAGCTCTTAGTCTGTACAAGAGATTCTTCCCCGAATCCATTTCCTCCATCTTCCTTTAGTAATGAACCTCTGAGTTTTACTCCTTTTGATCTACTTGAAAGGCAGAGAGAGAGAGAGAGAGAGAGAGAGAGAGAGAAGAGAGAGATTGATTGATTTCCATCTGCTGGTTTACTCCCCAAATGTCCACAAGAGCTGAGGATGAGCCAGGCTGAAACCAGGAGCCTGGAACTGCATCTGGGTCTCCCACATGCATAAGCCATCACCTGCTGCTTCCTAGGGTGCATTAGCAGGAAGCTGGATCAGAAGTGGAGGAGCCAAGACTCCAACCAGCACTCCCATATGGGATGTGGGCAACCCAAGCAGCAGCTTAACCCCGTGATGCCATGACACTCACCTCTAGTTAGTTTCAGCTGGTTCCCCTGGACCTAGCTTAAGACTATGTTGAGGGGCCGGCACTGTGGCATAGTAGGTAAAGCCACCGCTTGCAGTGCCTGCTTCTGATATGGGCACCAGTTCAAGTCCTGGCTACTCCACTTCCGATCCAGCTCTCTGCTATGGCCTGGGAAAGCAGTAGAAGATGGCCCAAGTCCTTCGGCCCCTGCACCCATGTGGGAGACCTGAAAGAAGTTCCTGGCTCTTGGCTTTGGATCAGCACAGCTCAGACATTGCGGCCAATTGCAGTGAATCAGCAAATGGAAGACCTCTCTCTCCCTCTCTCTCTCTCTCTCTCCCTCTTTGCCTCTCCTTATCTCTCTGTGTAACTCTGACTTTCAAATAAATAAATAAATCTTAAAAAAAAAATACTATGCTGAGTTGTGACCTGTAATTAAGTCTGGATCAACAAGACAACAGATTCTTCAAGATAAAAGATACTTGCCCTAGTTTTCCCTTTCCCATGGGCCAGAAAATAACAGCTCACGGGCACCTTAGATCCTGGGGGGCAGAGCCACTTGTGCTGGGTTGTGATCTGAGGTTGACCTTTGAACCTCAGCATCCTAGCCTATATTCTAGCCAATCCACACTGTATAGATGGAAAGCCTACCAAAACTACATAGGGTCTTTAGAGAGTTCACGGCAAAATGTGCATTATGGAAAGAACTATGCATGGGTTTCAATCTTTTAATTTCATTTTTCCATGAATGTTTTCCTTTATATCGATCACACACTAGCTGTTCTCATCTTTAAAACAAAGTTGCCGTCCCCTGAGTTCTCGTCCCTGGCATCAGTCAGCTACTATTATACTTCTCTGCTTGCCACTCAAGATTCAGCTTCTCAAAAACAACTGTGGGGCCTGCACTGTGGAGTAGAAGATTAAGCATCTGTCTGTGGTACTGGCATCCCATACGGAAGCCGGTTTGAGTCCTGACTGCTCCACTTCCAATCCAGCTCTCTGCTCATGGTCTGGGAAAACAGAAGATGGCCCAAAAGCTTGGGCCCCTCATTTGCATGGGAGAAGAAGCTCCTGGCTCCTAGCTTCAGATAGGTGCAGCTTTGGCCATTGAAGCCATTTGGGGAGTGAACCAGTGGATCGAAGACCTCTCTCTCTCTGTCTCTTCCTCTCTCTGTAACTGTGCCTCTCAAATAAATAAATAAATCTTTAAAAAAAAGACAATAACAACTACTACTCATCTTACTGTCTTGTACCTCCTCACTTTCTCTTTTCTTGGCAACCACTCCAATCTGGTTTCCAACCCTACCTACTCTACCAACACTACCTACTCCACTGGGGTGCTCCTGGGGCCCACATGCAGACTGCTGGTCCTCTCCTGTTCTTGCCTGACCTCTTAGGAGCCCCACCCAGGCCGTGAGACTTCCCTGGCCAACAGGCTTCCCTCCCGAGACCAGTACCTTCTCCTGCTTTCCTCCGGTTTCTCAGGGTCCTTCTCATTGTACTTGATGGGCTGTGATCTATCCAACCTCCAAACACAGTCATATCTCGCAAACTTAGTTCTGGTCCCTCTTTTCTCTTTCCATTTTCTCCCTAGCATGTGACATTCTTTCCTAGGGCTCTCACTACATTGCCCAATAACTACTTATTTAAATAATAAAATAACCTACCGTTATTTTAAATCTGTGACTAAACCATGATACCTCACCTGTTGTACATCCTACATATCACAGACCCTCAAATCTCAAACTCTATTCCCTGGCCAATATATCCTAGGTTTATTATCTTTCCTATATATTCACTATATGATTAATATAATGAATGATAATCATTGCTGGTTTTGGACTGATTTAGATAAAATAAAACTTTCATGGCTATTAAAAGAAAGAAATAAAACTTGAAAATGTAGGACTTTTAAATTTTAGAATCTCATTAGAATCAACATCTAATTCCACAGTCTGAAGGGGCATATGTTCACACTGCACTCACAAACAAACCAGCATCGACAGCCAAGATCACAACCACAACTTTAAAACCACCTTAAATAGTTTTCTTCCCTACTCATATGCCAATATAAACAAGCAACACACTGATTTTTAATAGCAAACATAAACACCTAAACTCAGCACTTCGCACATTCTCATCATTTTAGTAAGTTTATAGTGTTATGTAAAATTTTTTTTTAAAACTAGACTTTTAGGATATTTACCTCGTTTGGGTTTTCTTCTTCTTCTTTTTTTTTTTTACTTACACTCATCCCTTGCTCTCTTGAATAAGTTCACTTAAAACTGCACCTTTTCCTTTCCAACTCAATAAAAACTCTTATTTTCCAAGGCTCCCTTGTCATCTCCTGATACACAGTCAGTCATCCATTCAACAACTGCGAATGGAACGTACCAGGAAAAACATAACTGTGACTGTACAGAACATACAGACTGAGAGGATTTAAAGTATGCAAGTGTGAGGGGCTGTGTAGGGCTAAATGCAAATACTGGGCCATTTCTTTCTTTTTTTTTTTTTTTTGACAGGCAGAGTTAGACAGTGAGAGAGAGAGACAGAGAGAAAGGTCTTCCTTTTCCATTGGTTCACCCCCCAAATGGCTGCCACGGCCGGCACGC